CTCACGTAGCGATCAAACCAGGGTCCTGCTAGCGCCATGCGCACTACTGAACCACTGCGCTACGACACTGCTATCTGTAGACCTCCTCGGGATTGTAGTTTAACTCGTAGACTAAAATCTAGTCTCTGAAATGAACATATCGTACTGTAACATAAAAAAACAGTTGTTCAGTTATCTTAATAAAAATATAATAAAAAGGAGCCCAGTGACTCTCTTCATTTTCATTCACTGATACTGCAGTGATCTAGACTTGCCAAACATTATAGACTTGCATGGGCTGTATTTGATATATATTTGTATCAGGGTCTGTAAGACAGACTATTTAACTCGATCTACTCACTGTTATACAGGCGGGGCCTTGTCAGCTACTATAATGTGGTGCAGTGTTTTTCCTCACGTTGTAATGTTTGTTAATGTAAAACATAATATTCTATCAGTATATTATGCACAGGTCATTATTATTATTTATTATTGAATATTTCTAATGAAAGTATATAGTATTGCTGCTACTGCTGCTACTATTACTACTAATAATACATACAATTCACTATCTCACATTTACATCTGACGCCGGGTTATCACCTAAGTCATTGGATCAGTGTGCATCCCATTTGTTTTCTTACATCCCTGGGCCCAATTGCACAAAGCGATCTTAGCGCTACGACTATTGTAAGCCTATGTTAAAGCATTGGAGTAACGATCGTCTTAGCGCTAAGATCGCTTTGTGCAATAGGGCCCTGGGCAGTATCAGTTATTAAACATTTGTACCGAGAATCGTAACCAAGGGTCTGTGTTGAATTGCTATACACTTACTTTTAAAACTATATTTCAGGTATATAACAGTGAGTGAGTGCGTTGGGTTTAACGCCACTTTTAACAGTATTCCAGTCATTTCACGGCGTGTCGGCTTAATATTGGGGGAAAGCCCGAGCTGATGCAGGTCTCAGACGTTAACCACTTCGGTGAAACCCACGAGCACGGGTATGGTGCTGACAAACCTAGAAACATAATCGGGGCGAAGCGGGATTCGAACCCACAATCATAGGTTTCTCGCGTGTCCAAGGGACACAACTCTGCACAGCGATTCGCGTCGCCTTAGACGGCTGGGCCACCCGTGCTCCCTGGTATATAATATAACACACCAAAGAAGAGGTACTTTGACCTGCTGCCTTCAAGACGAAGCAGGATTAACTTGTTTCCATCAGGAAAATTCTGAGACCTAAAATCATGATGCACACGCCCGCGTCATAATTTCCGTGTTTTAGGTCTAGAATGTGTGGATATTCTTTTAAACTAGTTCCAAATGCTACGAAGCTCCTATATAAGTTGGGAAAGTTGCAGATACGCAGTTATACATACATGTATTATGCAAAACAAAGCGAAATAACGCCAATCTACATTTCGAGATGGATGTGATCAAAGCGTGATATTACAAATCTCGCGAGACATCAGTGTCGTAGTTGTATTATCTTGTAATGTAATTACACGAGGACATGGTTTTCAGAAAGTAACGTGCTTTTTGTCATTGAGTTTAACTTAATGTGTTACATTGAAATGAAGTAAAATATCAAGAAGGTCAACACGTCATGATGACTGATACGTGGTAAGTCGATATGGTAATCGCCTGTCATTGTAGTCATGGCTTTAAAATTAATCATTTATGTTATCCTCCACAAGTCGCTGGAATTAATAGCCGATAAAAATGCAACGCTTTGTCGAATGTAACTTATATTATCCTAGAAAATAGAAAATGATTAAATATTAATGAACATATATATTGCTTAGTACACAGGCGATGTATTGCCAGGACTGATTACATATATTAGACCCGTGAAGATCCGGGGTAGAATAGGTCTTCAGCATCCCATGCTTGGCGTAAAAGGCGACTATGCTTGTCGTAAGAGGCGACTAACGGGATCGGGTGGTCAGTCACGCTGACTTGGTTGAAGCATGTCATCGATCCCAATTGCGTAGATCGATGCTCATGATATCAATCACTGGATTGTCTGGTCCAGACTCGATTATTTACAGACCGCCGTCATAAAGCTGGAATATTGCTGAGTGCGGCGTTAAACAACAAACCAACCAATATATATTAATTACAGTTGTTTCCGTTAGCATTGTCATTTATCCTCTGCTGTAACTGTAGGCCAAAGGTGTTTGGGTGACATCTTCAACAGAAGCAACTTCGAGCCATTAACGTTGGACAATTCGAGACTTATGTAGAACACAGATTCGACTCTATAACAATTTTTACGATCATTTGAACTACATATCACAGTTATGTTCTTATTATCTCATCTGTCTCGAACCATTGGTTATCTCCAAGTGCGATCCCTTCAAAACGATATTAACGAAATGTATTCATGTGTGTTGGGTTATCGCTAATTAAAGCCTCTCTCAGATACGGTAGCAACTCGCTGCGCATACTTTTGTCCTTTAGCAGAGTAAGGACATGAACACATACGTAAGTTAGCATCCTAGATTCGGTCCGATTATGAACCTGGGTTTGTCAACACCGACTTCTGTTAAGTAGCCTATTTATAACATAGAATCTGGAGGGATGAACTAAACATTTTACCATTAAGCTACACAATCGCCACTGAAAGCTTCTAGAAGATGATAGATTGCTGAATATACTTTAAATATATACGTACAGTTGTGACATTATATAAACGTACATAGGACTCCGAATAAACAGTATTTGAAAATATCGATGTCCCCTCATTATACATGTACATTGTTAGCACAATTATCAATAAGTGAGTCAATGATAGGATTTTTATCGTTCTTTTAGATACGTCCAGCTGTACCACGAATAGGGCCACAGAGAACAGGTTACACACGTTGCGCCCACATGGGAGTTTGAACCCTTGACGGACCTTCACTTTAACTGCAAGCTTCGCGCTGATTTTTCATTGATATCGAACAAATATTTATAGACATAATAATAATGTAGCAAGTTAATGTGAATTTAACATGCCATATTAGTTCATATATTAGTATGCAGTTTCATATTACATACTCGGAACTTGTAATGTTTTGGAGCTTGCCACCTACAAATAATCCCATGCCGTCGTACCCCGTCAGCGGAACAGGTTGCTTATAAGATCATTCACTGATTTGTCTGGAACAGACTCGATTATTTACAAGCCGTTGTGATTTGGCTGGACTGCTGCTGGCTGAGATGTACAAGAAACAAACAGACATGACGTTATATACCTGTTCTCTTATTCTTTAGGCCTGGGTTTCTTAGTTTGTTTGTTTGTTTGTTGTGTAACGTCGCACTCAGCAATATTCCAGTAATATGACGGCGGCCTGTAAATAATCGAATCTCAATCCAGTGATTGACATAATGAGCATCGATCGAAGAATGGGGATACGATGACATGCATCAACCAGGTCAGGGCGCCTGACCACCCGATTCCGATAGTCGCGTCTTAATTACGACCAGCATGGGTTGCTGAAGACCAATTCCAACCGGATCTTCAGAGGGGTCTAAGGCTTGGGATTGATTGATGTCTTTTTACGAGTAAGGTACACCTGACACGAGTCTTCATCAATATAAGACAGTATTAGCAATCACACGCTTCAATCACATAAATCAGGTTGCAATTCATTAGTTTCCACCCCTGTGCAATGAAGGAATCCCTTCGCGTAATGACACGGGCTGGTGTGACGGCTATGTACACACTACCAGACTTTGCCCACACGGAGGTTTCAAGTCAGCACAGGTACAAGAAAAATGTCAAACCAATATCAACCCAAGACTATCCACCTGTACGTTTTACCCTCGCGATTATTGTTCAATTGCGTTGAAGCCAAAAGGCAATTATTTTGCAATCAAGGCATATAAACAAACTCTTCATCAAACCAAACCATAAACGATGGGCGGACATGTATATGTCCTTTCCTAAATGCCACATGTACATGTCTTTTAAATTGGACCCCGTTTCTCAAACCCATGATATGCATCTCAAGGACGCATTGCCCTTTAAACATCACGCCATAACTAACGACTTGAAATTAAAATTTCATTAATTGGACTAACAATCGATTTTTTTGCGGTGCCATCCTGATCATTCCATTATCTTGATATACGAATCTACTTTATCATTCTCTTCTTATCTTATCATTTATCAGCCTGACTCTGCTAGCAGAGGCCACAATCCACATTTAAAAACCCACGCCACCCACATCTGTTGACCAGGCTTGGCGTTCTCCGGTCAATAACTGCGTCTAAACAATAAAAAAACTCTTTTTTCAGTATAACGTTTACGTACGACAGCCAATATATATCCAGTTATCTGGGTAATCTATATCTGATTCAACATTATTTGAGCAATTATATTGACACTGCACTGCCAGTTAGAAAGGTTATGTTTTCATGTTGTGTAGAGAATTAGATAGTCCCTACTGCTTGCGTTTCACCACAGTAGCTGATGACAAGATAAAACATTGTTATACAGGTAAAAAATAGAATGCTAAAGGTTATTGATCATTAGGCATAACACTTGTGCTGAATATTCCCGCAAGACAAGTGCAATTCTGACTGCAATCATATTTCGCAGTTTTTTGTTATATCACTTGTTATAACATTGTTATTATTAGTTATTACTTGTTATTAATATACTGTCCTTAAAACCTATGTACATTATTTATCTTTATTTGTCTGTTGTTAAAGTCAGCAATAATCCCCATGATATGGCCTGTAAAATATTCGAGTATGGAACAGATAAACCAGTGATTGATATTAAGAGTAACAATCCACGCCGTTGGAGTATAATGAAACGCAATAAACTAAGTCGCCAAACTCTCCATCCAAACAAATCATCATCTTCATCATCTTCATCATCTTATCGGTATCGTCATCATCATCACTTCACAAACACGTTCTTAATTTACTGTTATTGACATACACATATTTCACCTATTGAGTTTCAATAAATAATTACACATTATCATGTACACGCTCTTGTATATATAACGAATCTACTTACCTTTCAATGCTGACAGCTGTTAGATTGAGTATAGATGCTAGGGCTGATACCATCTCCACCGTACCAGAAAGTTTGCAGAGTATGGGTCCAATCTCCCAATGTCCTATAAAGTACCTGGATGTTTCAAAGGGAACACAGACCAAGAGAAATAGAAGATCCGCCACGGCCAAACTCACCATAAACGATGCTGTAACACTCCGAGATTTACGGTCGCCCACCATTGCAAATATTACCAATGAATTACCAATTAATCCTATTAAAAAAGCGATGCCATAGACGGATACAGTTGGAATAAAGTGGGGTTCTTGGAGCCATGGCTTCTTCAAATTCTCTATATCACCCTCATAGTACAGAGAGTAGTCACCAAATGGGTCCAACATAGGTATATCAGGATCATCAACAAACACAGAACTCAAGTTAGTTAAAGTTGAATTAACTCCTGGGGTTTTCCAATCTGTTCCGTTCATCATGGCAATTTCGGAATTTCCGCTCGTATTAAACATTTTACTTTAACTGCGTAAAACGAGAGAAGTACGTGACATTCCACAAGTCGATCACTATTACAAAAGTTTCCAAGTGCTAGAGATCGCAAGCTTCTACATCACACCAGTGAACATATTCCCGTATTGCTTCCGTGGTGATAAAGACGCTGCATTACAATAGGCATCCCTTCAAAGAATGGGACGTGCCACTGAGCTGATCGAAAATCAGCGCGGTGTAGATGGCTGGTTTCGAGCGAACTATTTATCGAGTGGTTGGTTGCCTCTCGCCGACACCTGCTAAATATTAGCCCGTGGATTCGGGAATCACATGTGGCTCGAGCTGGAGTTCTCTCGCAGTAGAAAAGGGGCAAATACCATGTCCGATGCACGAACCAGTCAAAATCTGCAAGAGATAATATGAGTTTTTGATAGCTGCGAGAGATTCTAGTGCCAGAGGCTGATTCACAATCATTTCCTATGTTAGGGTTGAGTTCAAATGCGGAATATAGCTAAAGGCAAACTGGTTAGAAATTCGGTTTCGTGTTTACATAGTGTCATACAAATATATAAATATTTTAAACCATGTCTTTATTGTGAAAAGGAATGTTGAAATGCAGTTGTATAAGTAACTAAGTGCATAACTGAATTTACATATGTTTCAACTAATTAATAACTAATAGCGTCACTAATTAAACTTTGACTTATTAATCTGTCTGTCATTACTGAATTCTAAACAATTATAGTGATACACGCATAAAGGTCTTGCCTGGTGATGTTTAATATTGTATTTAATTTTTATAGGTCATTCTATAATATGCATGTATATGGGGTGCAAACGTAGGGACATTTCACAAAGTAATACCTCTTCACCTACATTGGTTAACCTAACACGAGAAATATGTAACCCTACAATACACATAGCTAAGCTCAATATAATCCTCATAAACCTTCATTGTTGAAATACTGCGGATGGGATGCTTGCCCCGTCGCCCTGGGACACGTGCTGGGTGTTTTTCGACTTCATCCTTACGCAAAGATAGCACTCGCGCGTGTACCGTAAATGGCCTACTTATGTGCGGCATTGTGTATAGTTTCATGGCCCAACAAATGAATGACACAAGCACAACGAGAGCACAATAAGACGCACACGTGTGAAAGGCGTTAAAACTGTTTCAAGCCTTAGCTCGTATCGTACCTAACGGCTCGTTCACTTGCTTCAGCATATTCAACAGTCAAGCATCACACGTCGATGCGGGGCATTTGTTAATGATGGTTCCAGTGTTGATGTATGACTTCAACGTGTTCGACCGAGTGGATGTTTATGTGTAGGTGTGTGGTCACAATGCAAGCTATATGCGCGTGCTCTCCTAGGTGGACGAGTTCAGATAGATTGATAGATAGAAATAATGTTCCAGGACCAATTACCTGTAGATATTGGTTGGGTTAACGTTACTGATTATTCAGGATGTATAAATATGCAAGAATGTCGCGATCGTTATCATATTGGAAGGTGGGTGGCTGTTGGCAATCAAGGCATACACTTTGCAAATGTGGGGTGTTAGGTGTATTTAGGAAGGCTACTATTTATACTATTACATGGACACATCTACTGGAGCTTGTTTGGGACGGCCAGTTGATATTCTTGCTGGCGGGAGACATAAAGTAGTAAATTAATGTTTTCGTAGCTAGAACTTGTCTAACGGATACCCGTACTGCAGCTGCTGTTGTGCATGTAGTTGGCTATGCATGTTACTGTGTTGATGGTATGGGTTTTCGGTTCATAATTGTATTGTTAGGCATTTCGCTAAATCTGTGTTGTTGTCTAGATGGATATGCACACACGCACACGCATGCACACACACACACACACACACACACACACACACACACACACACACACACACACACACACACACACACACACACACACACACACACACACATATATATACGTGATGTACAGGAAGATGGGCATACAGGTGAGCTGATATATGGTACATGTAAGTTGGATATATATTTGAGTAGGTATATAGGACGTTGTATATATATAGGTAAGCTGGTATATGGGAATTCGAAGTTTGGTATTTAGGTAAGCTCGTATATTGGAAGTTGGACATATTGGTGAGCTAGTATATAGTACATGTAAGTTGGATATATATTTGAGTACATGTTGGATGTATATGTGAGTTGGTACATAGGAAGTTGTATATATATAGTTAAGCTGGTATATAGGAAGTTTGGTATTTAGGTAAGCTGATATATAGGAAGTTGGACATACAGGTGAGCTGGTATATGGTACATGTAAGTTGGATATATATTTGCGTACATGTTGGATATATATGTGAGCTGGTGTACATGACGTTGGGCATATAGGTGCGCTGGTGCGTATGAAGTTGAATAAATGGGTGAGCTGGTATGTAGTACATGTAAGTTGGATTTCTAGTTGAGTTGATATATAGGAAGTTGGATCTATAGTTGAGCTGGTATATTGATGGTTGGACACGTCATCAGCTACGCCACACAATGTAAGCATCAGATCCTCATAAGTCTAATCTTAAGAAATGCAGATGGTTCTGCGAAACCATTTTACCCCGGAATAAGGAGTTCCGAAGATGAATACACGTATAGTGAAGCGGTGGGGTAGCCTAGTGGTGAAAGCGATCCCTCGTCACACCGAAGACTCGGGTTCGATTCCGTGTATTTTTTGGTTTGGTGTTGGTTTGGGGTTTTGTTTTACGCCGCACTTAGCAATATTCCAGCTATATCCAGTGCTTGATAACATGAGCATCGATCCACACAATTGGGATCGATGACATGCTTCAACCAAGTCAGCGAGCCTGACCACCCGATCCCGTTAGTCGCCTCTTACGACAAGCATAGTCGCCTTTTACGGTAAGCATGGGTTGCTGAAGACGTATTCTACCCCGTATCTTCACGGGTCGTGTTTTATGATTAAGGGATGCACATATAACATTATTGAGTGCAGCGTCCGTCTGTCAATGAAATAATGTAAGCTAATCAAACAGAATACCCACAAAAAAAAACGAATATATATGTAAGATTTACTTTATATTGTACGCAGTCGTTATACTTCTTGTTCAATACATATTACAAAAGAAAATAAGGAAATGTATCTGCATACTATTATAACAACAACGAAGGCCATTCACAACGTTACGTTTACTAAAGGAGTGAAATCTCGAGTAAATCTGCAAAAGGTTTCAATTTCATGTCAAATGTACGCATAGAATTTTTTCGTAAAACTATGTCAGTTACATGTCTCCTCTGAAGGCGATCAAACGAGTCAAGACTTTGGAAAACAAATAAGCTTAGCAGACTTCCCTTAGCCGTTCCCAGGGGCCTAATAGGGGAGAAATTGGCGTTTAAGAAATTCAGTGAAGTTCGCAATATAAAACAAACTCATTTATTTTGATCAGAGAAACTTTGAATGTAGCAGTGTTATATTATACTTTAGGTGTCTGCAGTGAGTTGAAGTAGAATAATTAATCAGGTCTGTACGTGATTACAACTGCCGGACACTAATTTAGGCTTTTTGAGGTTGGAGGCTGAAACAATCTAGTTTGACGTACGAAGTATTAAACCAATGTTGATGACTAAACGACGAAAAAGATGCAAAGTTCTCACATGACAATTACGACACGGTACAATAAGACTGTTAGCCCTTTGAAAGTCGTTAGACGTGCCCCTAATATCTATTATGTGGGTTATAAATGTCTAAAGTTTGACATTCTGTCAGTGCAGTTAAGGACGACAAATGCAAAACTCTGTAACAAGTTCCATGTTTTGTGTATTTTTTACCATGGAACGACAACTCTATTCAGTGAGGCAATCATTATTGCGAAACCACGATAAAAGACTGACTTAATTCCAATTTCCAGAAAAATGGGAATTCAATTCTGAGATGACAAACATCACGGTTTGGCTGTATTGGGGCAGAGGGCATCATTCCGTTGGAGATATTCATAAGTTATATCACCTCGGGCAATGGAGGTGAGGGGATGCCTGATCGTATTAACTGTGACAAATAATGATTACATGTGAGGGATCAACGAAAACAACATATGAGGGAATACACGCATACACTCGCACGCACGCACGCACGCACGCACGCACACACGCACCCACACACACATACACAAACAAACACACGCACACGCAGACGCACACACACACACACACACACACATACACAAACAAACACACGCACACACACACGCACGCACGCAAACACACACACACACACGCACCCACACACACATACACAAACAAACACACACACGCACACACACACACACACACACACGCACGCACGCACGCACACACAAACACACATACACATACACACAAACACACACACACACATATATACACACACAAACACACACACCAAAAAAAACACAACAACACACACGCACACGTATATATAGGTAAAAATTAAATAAGCGGAGTAAGATTGAACACAGTTTTAATTGGCTAGCGCCTCCAACTCGTATCACGTATGAGTCTCATCAGGCCATAACTGATAGTTGGAAATAGAACTTTACTGTGCGTTTTCTATGCATGGACTTAGATCTTTACTGTGCTTTAATATAACTATATATATTATAATATTTATGTATGTATGTACGTATGTATGTATGTATGTATGTATGTATGTATGTATGTATGTATGTGTGTGTGTGTGTGTGTGTGATTGTGTGCGTGTGTGTGCGCGCGCGTGTGTGTGCGTGTGTGTGTGTGTGTGAAAGGTGGAGCTTATAAGAATAAAATTCCATTAAAACTACTTCATCTGATATACATAACAAAGATATTGTGTTTTGTAAGGAGCGGTACACATATATGTCCGTGTTACTCGTGGGTGTATCTGTTGATGTCATCTCTGCATGCATGAACCAGAACCATACTGTGGGTATAGGCAATGTGTGTTGTTACTGTTGCATAACGCATTTTCCATGCAACGTTTTATTTTTGTGTTTTTACAAAATAAGTAAATCTAGAATACCGCAAGGTTACATAGTGTCATTCTGACAACATTTCGTTATAATTCAATGCGTATTTAGCTATTCTATATTGACACTTTATATTCGGCAGATGTAAGTAGCTGATAAGATGGACATTGTTTCAAATCAAATTGAACTGTGTGGATGTGACTGTAGGTAATTGCAGTCATTTATAAATGATGTAATTTGGACAATTAATTTTGTATTTGGCTATTGTTTGATACAGTTCCTA